ATACTGAAAGACAATTTATAATACGTACCTTTGTCAATATCGAATGCAATAGCCCTCGATCTTCCGCCTTTTTTACAGTATCTTGCATGTCTTTAATATTGTGTATCTCATCTTCTTGTACAGAATTCGTATTGTCAATGTTACCATAAAGTTGTGATCTCAACTTTTCTTGGGTACGATATGCCATCATTGCGAAACGATGGACACCTTCCAATCTTTTGATACACGTAGAACAGACCATTTTTGAAAATTTGTCCTCCGATGACACCTATAAAGCATTTAAAAATAAGTCTATAAAAATATACATTATGCAATTAACATAAATTATGACGCCAATTTGGAAATGATAGTGTTGGATTATTAATTCACATTAGATTAGTTCTTTTTATGAAATAAAAGAATTAATCCAATGTGAATTAATTTGAATTTGCAAAATAAATACAGAAATTCACATGAAGAATATAATATACAGATGTAAATATACATAAAAAGAAAGAAAAATATAGACATTCAGATTCTACTTCTAAATTAAAGTGAAACATACTATACATGTTTTTTTTCTCAAAACAGAAAACAATAAATTATTATAAAATTATCGCGTTATTAAAATTTATATTTGTGCATTATATTCTATATATGTTGATTTATATATATGTGTGTGTGTGTGTGTGTGTGTGTGTGTGTGTGTGTGTGTGTGAGACTGTCATTTTCAGATATTGACGTCATATAATTTATCAAGTCAATTGTACAATTAAACATCATTTTATTATCATCATTACGTCGTCATTCGTTTCTCATTCTTCCCATTATTGTCATCTCTCATTTGTAGCAGCAGTGCGTCGCGAATTCTGTCTCCAATTTCATTCTCGATGACAATTAACCTAGCTTTCGCGAGAGCATCGATAACGCCGTCGAGGTGGGAAAGAAAGGACATTTCGTTTATTTAAAAGGAAAGTCGCCCTGTTTTTCCTCTTTTCCTTCGCGTAATCGCGTCTCTCGGTCGACGCCAATCTATTCCGCGCCACGTCATTTTCCTCGTCGCTCCACCGCAGCCCTCATTTCCGATTGTATTTATAGAGGTGGCCGCTTATATATAGCGTACACATACACGCGAGCCACAAGTATACTTATTGCAATCAATAAAATGCTAATTTTTAACACTTTTGTAGCTCCGCACACAAAATGGTTGCGCTCATGACCGACGTATTCCGTAAAATACGTAAATATGATCAGCTGCCTATAAATTGTAACGTGACCGGTTTCTCTGACGAGTCCGTTGATATTTCGCGGCTCGTTAGGAATCGACGCGATTAATTTTTTCAGCCGGAAACTTTTGGCGAGGCATAATGCTTCAACATCCGTATCGCGAAAATGTCACTGTTATATTTAAACGATCGAGTCAATTCATTAGCGTCGAGCCCAATCATTATATGATGAAAAAAAAAAGAGACGAGATCGGAGAGATGATTGGCGATCCCAAATCACCGTGATATATTTTTCATCGCCGATTTTTCGCGAACGTCGACGGTGATCACAGAAAATCGTCGCGATCGAATCTTCGCGAAGAAGATCGGTGTGCGATTTCGACCGATCTCGAAAAATCGGCTGAGATCGGTCGAGCGTCAATGTGAATTTCGAAATTCCGCCGCGACCGGCACGTGATCGCGACACTTGCCGCGTAAAGGAGAGGGGGAGGACGAATTTTGAAAAGAAGAAAAAATGAAGGAGCGAAAAGGAGAGAGAAAATGAGAGGGGAAAAAAAAAGGGAGAGGGAAAAAAAAGGATATCCGCCGCGCGAAGATACGCGCGAAAGTGCGCTCGTGTCTCACTCACCAAGATATGCAGGTATTTCCGTATTTTGGTCTGCAGATAATGACGTCGACCGTCCTCGGCGAAAATGTGCATTCCGCCGTCGTCAGTGGCGATATCGGTCGCACAGATCCGGCACTGTGCCGCGGACCGATCGGCTTGCCGATCGCGCTGCTGCTCGAGATCGCGTGCCGCCGTGCCCATTTTTCAAAAAGGAACCGGGAAAGCGCGAAAACGGGGAAAAAAAAGAAAAAATGAAGAGATCAGCGAAGAAGAGAGAGAAACAAAGAAGTGAAACAATGAAAAAAAAAAGGAAGAACGGCGTGCCGGGAGGAGAGGGGGGGAGAAACAATTTTTCTTCTCGTTCCACCGCAGGAAGACTTTTTCGTTTCAGCCGATCCTCTCGGCGGGTAGTAACGGCGGCACGCCGACGCGAGGCTTCGTTGGAGACACGTCGGTGATCTTTTTTCTTTTTCTTTTCTCCTTCCAAGACTAGAACAAAATGCCGAACCGCCGAGTCGGCCCGCGACGCGACGTCTTCATGTATCCAGACAACGACGGGGCATCCTCGGTCGCGAGGAGCAGCGACGACGACGACGACGACGACGACGACGACGGCTGATGCGCGACCGAGAAGAAGCCGCGTGTGTCTCCCGACGGCGCGACGGCGGTCGAAAGCGAGCGAACGTGCGACGGCTTGATTATTCTATAACGATTTTCTCTCTTTCTTTCTTCTTTTTTTTTTTTGTTCCGCCGTATACTTTATGAGTGGAGCCGCGGATTGGGCGAGATTATAAGCCGCGCGGCACGGCGCGACGCGACGCGAGTCGTCGTGCTCGTGTGCTCTTTATAAAAACAGACGCGCGCTCGCCCGCGCTCGTCGCGGGGTAGTTCGTCGGGCGTCGGCGTGCGTCCGTCTCCCCCGTTCGTCTCTCAACCCCCCTCGGAGTGTGCCGCGAGTGCTCAATACAAAATATATAATAGCATTCGTCGATTTGAAAAACATATGTATATAACCAATTGTTTTATTTATGGATTCCGCCGGCGCTTCGCGTCGCGGTGCTCCCCGCCACCGCCGGCGCGCGGCGCGCGGCGCCGCGCGCGCGTATCCCTCGGCGTCTCCGCCTCCGCGCGCGTTCGCGAAAATCGTATATTACATCGATGCGACGACGGATGTACGCGACGACGCCGCGGCCATGCGGCGCGCAAAAGAATAAAATGCATCGGCGCGCGGCACTCTTAATTGCTCCGCCATCTTGCATCATCGTAGCCAGCTCTCTAATTCTTGGCCCGCCAATTTCTTTTCCGATTCTCGCGCCGCCGACAATACCACGTGTCCGGCGCGCCGCGTCGGACCGTCGCTATTGCCGCTGACGTCATTGACGCTCGCTCGCTCGCTCGCTCGCACGCGGCCACGGGATGCGTATCTGTATCGCTGTCGCATCGCCTCAAATCCCGCGGTTCCGCACTTTCCCGCCATTTCTCGGCGACCCCCGCCCTCCCTTCATCCTCCTTCGCCGGTTCAATCGCGCGTGCGCGCGCCGCGTTTTTGCGCGCCGCGGAAAATAGTCCGCGGCCACTCGACGCGAACGAGTACCTCCCCCTTCCTCTTCACGTCCACGAGACCCGAGAGGTGGTGCGGAGAGCCGGCGCTACGCTTCACGTCCCCATTTAAAAAAATCAATACTTAATAATTAGCAATTAATACGCCCGCCGAGTGTACATGTGTGCACGTGTGCTCGCGATTACCTTCTCTCCTCCTCCCTCCTCCCTTGTCACCCGCCTTTCGTTCCCGTCGTTCCTCCTCCTCCCTTCGCCCTCCCCCCCGCAGCCCTTTAATCACGCCGCGCTCGTTATAATGACACGATCATTATTTCGTTAATTATTCGTATCGACGTTTGTTATTCTCCCCCTTTTTGTCCCGGCGACAGGATGATTTTCGTTGGAGCGCCGAATCATGCAGGAGAGAATATAGAAAAAGACACCCCAGCGAATTCATTTGTGGATGGAATTAATTATTTGAGAGAATTATAATATCGATACCATTCGATATGATTGACGATGACGTTTTCAATAAAATATGCGTCTTATTTTGTCGATATTTCGACACATGCTGTAATAAATATAATTAGCAACAAAATGTAATAAACTGATTAAACGTCAATATAAACAATATGAAAAGAACGAATATATACATGTATCATGTATATGTATATATATATATATATGATATTAAAATATTCAATTATAATAATGTTTGCGAGAAGATAAAAAAATAAGAATTAATTGCACTAAATCAGCGCTAAATCGGCTTTCTTTTTAGCATAAATCAGTAACAGAGAAGAAAGATAAATTATAAGAGAACATTAAAAAAATATACCTTGTTAACTACAATTAATTATTTACCTTTCATAATTTTTCTCGTTTTGGAATGGCTATCGATGTATTGCCCTGAATTTAGATCCCAATATAAAATGCACTTCGATTTATCGAAAATATTTATTGCCTTGCCATTTTTGTCGTAATCGCGATAAATAACGCGCAGAGAAACAAATGCGGATGAACAAGGAGGAACATAACCTCTAAGAGTTCCTCTCCGGATTCCAGAATAAAAAAAAAATCATGGAAACAGTTGTCAAATTCTTGTTGTTTTCCACTTACACATTCTACCATAGAAAAAAGGAAAGATCATGTTGAAATATTCGGGAAAAATTAAAAAATTGCGATAACTTTTTGGAGAAGTTATATACTTCTCCAAATACTTTTATCTCCGGTAAGCGGACCGTTCAGTAGACCGAATTTACATTCGTACAGCGAATTTGATCAGGAATAATCAGAAATTGCTGACAAATCAATTGATTCGCATTAAGTTCTCGTTACTCTCGTTTTAATAAGCAAAATATGATATAGTTTGACGTATTCATGGTTTGGAGTATTTTGACATAACCTGATAATAGATTGACAGTAAAAGCCGAGTTCATCAATGCAGATTTCATTCTATTTTTGCTGGCAATTCGCGTCAACTACTGTGTAGTGTCAACATGCCAAAATTGCTTGATTTGTCATCGTATTTTGTTGATATAATTTGCTATATCTCTACTAAAAATCTGCCAACAGAATACGCCAGAACCTATCCATCACATCCATAGTCTCTGTTGGGAAAACTTATAGTAGACATTTATGACAGAATCTGTTCTTAACACTTCTGACTTAATATTTCTTGTGAGAATATGTCGAAGTATGAGATCTGTAGATACATGCCACTGTTGTACAGCGTCGCTAACAAGCCATTGGATCTATGGTCAAAACATGTATCCTTTGGTGGCAAAGTTCGTAGAGTGAGCGACGATCTATTACATGGAGATAAAGTAATCGAGATCACCGGACCTCACGACAACACGATTCCCACGAACATAACTATTCCTGCCAAAGCACTAGACATCCTGAACATAAAACTTCCTGTTCTCGTATTAGTTGTAAAGAATTTGAACTTGTGGTTCAAACTGGAAGTTCAAGTATATGCTCTTTAAATTTTATGATAGATATCGTAATTATTCTTAACTTTATTATTATAACTGTACTATAACTGTAATATTTTAATAATGATTCTCTATCTTTAATACATATGAAGATAATAGATAAACAACAATATCGGAGAAGATTCTCCTTTATGACCTACAATGTTGAAAGACTACCAAGCATCAATGCAAGTGTGGCTAGTATTCCATTGAGATTGGATGACTGTTGGAATTTCTTAGAAATAAATCTTCAGAGTCTATGTCACCAAGTGTATAAGACGGATTACGAGGCTCTACAAAGAGTAATGATCTATCCAAATTGTCTTTTAAGAAGAGTGTATCTACAAGATCATCATTATAATGATGATGAAACTCATGTCGAGCTACATCAAGCTGTTTTCAATATGTTAAAGCAGGGAATCAATTTCGAAAAGTCTTGTCAGATGGAAGATTGTTACACAGGTTTTATAAATTCTCGAAGAAATGTGAAATATATACATATATTAACATATATTTATTTCTTTTTGGCTTTTAGGACCTTTAGAGCAATCTAATTTGAATTGTTTTGTTAAAGATAATTCTAGTAGTACATTAATAAAAGTGGATTCATGTAAAACCGTAGGCAGCATGGAAAAACTGAAAAGTAATCTATCGAACTTAAATTTATACAATTCTGATACATTAAAAAGGAATCACATGTCACTGGATGCTTTAAACGATGCAATAAAAAAACAACATGTTTTTAAAAGACAAAGTGAATACTTCATAAAATCTCTAGTAAATGATCCAATTATAGAAAATAAATTAGAAAAAGATAATAGTGATATAACAGAAAAAGTAAACCAACATTATGCAATGAAAACGCATAAGGCAGAAAATTCTTTATTAAATATAAAAATTAATGATCATACGTCGCGACCTGCGTCTTCTATGAATTTAAAAATAATCATGAAGAGCCAATATTTTAAAACGCATATCAACGAAATATTATTCAAAGATAGAATTCCAAAACGTCTGCAGAAAAATCGGAATGCAGGAGATACATATATTAACTTAACGAAATGTATGTTAAATGATAATAATAAAATACAGATAGGAAAAAATAATTCCACGATAGCAAAATTTAAAGTAGATGCCATGGGTTCTTCGTCGTCTTTTAAACCTGATCTATCTGAAAATATTAAGCTTGATAACATAAATAATAATGTGTTCGACATTCCAAGCAATAAATGTATTCATTCCAAGCATAAATATGTAAAAGAGAGTGATAAAAGTATCATCAATCGTTTAAGATCTTTAGTTAGTATCGAGGAAGGTGCTGAAAATTTAAATGAAAATGTGTCCACAAATAAATGTATTTCATCTCTAATCGAGAAAGAAGACGAGAACTGGACGAAATGACAAGGCATGTATTTAACGATGAATAAAACTTACATATCAAATTTTATAGCAATAGATTATTCCGCGAACAAGAAATTTCTCGAAAAATTACAGGATAAAGAACTTACCGTATACATAGAATTATTATTATATGACAAATAGCGAAGAAACTTTGGTCAAGAAAAGTTTACGAACAAAGATGATATACAAATTAATGTATTATTGATTAGCAATAAATTTAACTGCTTTTTAGCAGATTATTTGAAAAAAATAGAATTTTAAAAATATATAAACAGGAAAATACAGTGAGAGCAAAAAATATTCATACATAGAAATTTTTTATAAAGTTTTATTTATAAAAAATTTAACATTAATTAGCAATTTTATACAATGAATATATTCTGTTCTATAATTAATACACATCTTTTTCGTATGTATAATTTTTTTAAGAAACATAGTCTATTTTATTATTTATGAATAAATTGTTAATTACCCAGCAAGAAATGATCGATTAAATGTCGAATCGATGTGATGTTGAAATCATCGTATCAATATCAATTCGATATCCATTCGATGACTCATTTCTCGCTGGATATTTATTTTTTTTAAATAAAGTTTTTTTAAAACTATTTTCTCTGTACGAATACTTTTGCATTCATTGTATGTATTTTTTTTCCATATAAGCAAAATTACACAATTCTTAATACATAAATTGCATGTACATGATTTATATTCTATTAAGTTAACATTAACTTTAATGAATATTATTAATTGTATTACTTGCAATTGTTTAAGCAGCGTATAAAATTAAAACAGCCTTCAATAAATTATTTTTATTTTGAAAGTAATTCGAAGAAATTTTTAAAAAAAAGTTTCAATTGAACAACTCTTCTTTCTTTTACTAAAGAGGCTCGCATTTTCTTCATTAATTATCAACATTTTGCTTTATTTTGAATGGGCAAGAATAATTTAAATTCTGCCGGCAATTCGTCCTCTGAATATAATCGATCCGAAAAATACACTCGCCGTATCCTACAATTAGCATGAATTTGGACTCTCAGTGTCTCGACATAATTTGTCCCATAAGCACGGCGAGTGAAGTCAGCCAAATTGAATTGTATTTGATTCCATCCATCGTCCAATCTCATTGGCATTGTACATATGAATGGTTTCACTCTCGTCGTTGATTGATAATTACTTGCACGAAATCTGCGACGTACATTTTTGTCATCAATTATCTGTAATATGTAAATTTTTTTTATATTAAGAGAGATTGAGCATTTAATGAACGAAAAAATTCATAAAATTTCTTAAATATATTAAATATTCTTTTAGAATGACACAGATCATATAAGAACAATTGACTCGTAATGAATAGATTTTGGATTTGTTTAGAGTCTCCAAATTAAATTAAATACTTTTCCCTTAATTTTTCCATAAATTAGTATAATAAGAACCTCACTTGAACTTCAAATGTGAAATACTTCTTTAAATTCTTGATAATCATCACCAGAAAGGGCAACTTTATGCCCAAAGTCTTCCTTGGATCTGCAGGACATGTGATATATGTTGTACTAACATTGCTGCCTAGTATCTCCAGGACAAGGCTTTGAATATCATTGTCAGTGATCCTCTTGATATGTCCATTCCTCACTTTCTTGTCCCAGATTTGCAGGGGCTTGCTGCCGATGCTATACAGAATGGATAGAAAACCACTTTGGAAGGTGTTCTTGAACATTTTCAGATTCGTTTGGGATCCCGCTGCTCTGAGAATTTTCTTATATCAAGGCTCTCTATTTTCTCGTCAAACCTGCAATATAAATTAATATGATGAATTCGACCGATTCCTCGGCGTTGATCAAACATCGCAACTAACCTTCTTCCATCTTAAGTTAATAAAACTGTGCTAAATAAATTCCGGAGTGGATCAAGGCACCATCGGCACAGAAAAGATTAAGCTGAAAATACGTTATGGGTGACGATTTAAGAAATTCATGTTTATATTTGAAATAATAAATTTTCCTTTGTGCATCGATTGTTTTACTTTAATTCATCTGAATCCATCGTTTTACGAGTTGTTTCTTACGAAATATTAACGGCGATTCTAACCTATAATCGACTGTTTGATCGATACATTATTCCACAAAATTCGTATGAATACATTAACATAACCGGAAGTGCTTCAACTTGGACGTCAGACCTCAGAATAGCAAGCTAAAATTATTAGACTACAAGTATAAATTTAATTTAGATTGCATTTATTATAATTCTTTTATATTTTTTAAGGTTATAATAATTTAAAAACTAATGACAATATACCATTGCAGTTCACCATTGCGAAGACAGTGATAGACTTTTCGTGGCAAACCGTTGAACTACGATGTCCATTTCTTTATCTCGTTTAATAAGGAAGAGATTCTTCATTTTTAGCTTAGAATAAGTAATAAAGTATGTTTCAGATATTTTAATTTATACTTTTCAGACAAATTTTTTTTATTTAGGATAATTTTTCTCAGAATTTTTGATGTGAATTAAAACACTTTTCAAAAACGCTAAAAAAGTCTCGGTTCAATTTATTTTTTATCTTTTTGTAATTCCAGAATTAGAAAAGCTATTTATTTTGTTCTAATTTTAGAATCAGAAAAATAATAAGTTATTTAAACCGAGATTAAAGTTAATTTTACATTGAGAAAATTAGATCTTAAAACTTTTTATATATGTGAATTTCGAAATATTGTAAGATTTCCATTCTATGATTTCTGAAAAAATATTCTAAACTTTTTCAGATCTTATAAAATTTTTATTAAAAATTATAGAGAGAAAATGAAGAGTTCTTTAAATCTTAGAATATTTCAGAATTTACATACATAAAAAATTTTAGAAAAAAAATAGATTTTTTTCAGCAATTTCAATTTGTATAAAGTACCTAAGAAATTTTCTAAAAAAAAAAATTTTTTCTAAAAAAAGTATAAAATTATTCAAAAATTTTTAAATTTATATAAAAATTCTAAAAAATTCTAAAAAATTGTATGAATAATTCTGAGAAATATTTTCACCAGTAAGATTTTAAGTTTTATTAAAATAAGATGTATCTATGAAATTTTTATAGCAATTAAACAAATTAAGAATGTGCATATTAAAACCTTAGGTATATCAAATCTCACAAATAGTTACCAACTAAACTGATACATGATAAAGGATATTTTATTCAAACGAAAAGCCTGAAATAAGGACAGATAGAATAAAATATTCTTATATTCGTGTGCCACCTTGTCATGCGTATATTTGAAACGCACAGTAAAAAGGCCATATACATGTACGTGAAACCTTTCTACAATCGTTCTCATCAACGTCAAATACAAACTGATGCGGATAGAGGAAAGCAGTAGATTCCTATACGTCGTACAATTCACTTTCGAAAATGCAATTAAAGCTTCATCGGTATGAATGATCTCCTCGATCGTTAGGACGCATTCATTTAAGGAGCAATCATTCCTCTCGATAGATGTTGTCGAGAACTCGCATTACGCAATTGCGTTTTATACGTACGTTACAGCAAATCGTTACAAACAAATTGTTTTACTTAAAATGTAAATCTAACATAATCGGAACTACATTACGGTATCGTATACGGTTACTTTCTTTCATGCTCGGCATTGCTCTATAAAACACAATATTCCTAGAATGAATATTAAAAAGGATAAATAACATTCTGGGATGAACTTATCATTCATAACGTTCGCGTGCATCATTTCATCCTTGTTCAACATACATTTGATAATAACAAAGGTGAAATAATACTTACGAATGTTGTAAATGTTAAGTGAAACCCTAAGAATATTGTGCTTACAGAGTGATTCCGCCAACTGAAAAATTGCGAGAAGTTAATTGTATATTTTACAGAAGCTTTACATAGTAATGTTGTAACATGATGAAACGGCAGCGATCACTTGATCTTCCTTATACTAACTGAAAGTAAGCAAATATAGCGGTTGTATGTGCGATGGCATTAAAACAAAATGACGGAACGAAATATGGATTACGCATGAAACTAATATTACACATTATTCTTCTTCTTCTTTCTGACAGTGTCGACATATTAATTTGTGTTTCCTCAACACCTTGCGGATCAAGTCAGACAACGCAATTGACTTCTCAATGCGAACGAGCGAGTTTTTTTTTCTCTCTTCAAAGTGTCGAAGGATTTCGGTTTCCGGTATCTCGGTAAATTGATACGTTATATTCGCTTATCTATTCGTTAATATTAACTATACGATATTACAGTTCGTAACGTGAAACTGTTCCTTTTCTCTTTCTCTTGTAGCGTATACGACTAATGATTTAATTTGAATCTTTATCTCGCTTATTTCTTGAAAAACTATATGTATATAATGGAATCTACCACTGCGTCTTGTAATACTGAATGTCACATGAACAAGAAAGGCCCACTTATAAAAGCGATCGGCAAAACAAAACCCAGCTAGAGTCTCGAAGAGTCAATAAATAATTTTTTTCCAGCAAATATCTCAAACAAATCTCCATTTAATGGACAGATCCATCATTTTCACGCGAACATTTCTTACAAATTTTCAATATACCGAGTATCGGGCATTATGAATAAAAATGCACACGATTTTAGTGAACAATAACACAGTTTACTAACCGTTATAAAACGTTTATGTAAACCGCTTGTATTTATTGTTCAGTAAATCGCATATAATACAAGAGCAATGAATAGAAGATAGCAAGTCGCTTGGTTTTGAGAATACCGGTACAAAACTCTGTGTCGTTACACCATAAAAGGCAACGTTCAATCAGTTTACATGGAGACGCATAGAACTTTAAATCAAAAAGTAAAAGCTACATCATGAATATTCAGAGTTTGTACCGTTTCTCAATGTCTATCTTCATTCATTATTAAGTTTCTTCCACTCTAGTATTCTTATTCGTTTTCCGACAATAATACAAAATTCACCGTTTTTTCAGGATTATTTCTCAGCAAAATTAAAATTTCGTAATAG